TGAAAGATAATAGAGATAATGTTTGATTAATGCATCTCTGATTCTAGTCCTCAAAAACCATAATAGTAGTGCTTGTTTATAGTGCCTAATTCCGACTGTTTTCTCTGATCTGTGTGTGTGTGTGTGTGTGTGTGTGTGTGTGTGTTTCAGGTGACGGTCATGCACTCGATGCAGGCCGGATACCTGGAGAAGGCCCAGAAATACACTGATAAAGCCCTCATGCAGTTAGAGAAGCTCAAGAGTAAGTCACACGAGTGTGTGTGTGTGTGTGTGTGTGTGTGTGTGTGTGCACTGATGCTTCTGTGTGTTGGCAGTGCTGGACTGCAGTCCGATCCTGTCGTCGTTTCAAGTCATCCTGCTGGAGCACATCATCATGTGTCGTCTGGTGACGGGACACAAGGCCACGGCGCTGCAGGAGGTGTGTGTGTGTGTGTGTGTGCTCGACACCGCAGTGATGCCCCTGATGATCGTGTGTAACCCCTGTGTGTGTGTGTTGACAGATCTCTCAGGTGTGTCAGCTGTGTCAGCAGTCTCCACGGCTCTTCTCCAATCACGCCGCTCAGCTTCACACACTCCTGGTGAGATGAGACCTGGGTGCAGATCTGTGAGGAGTGTGTGTGTGTGTGTGTGTGTGTGTGTTCTGCTCTGTGATGTGTTGTTCTCGTGTTTCAGGGCTTGTACTGTATCTCGGTGAACTGTATGGACAACGCTGAGGCCCAGTTCACCACAGCGCTGCGGGTGAGAACCTTAAAGCCTCTGCTGTCGCTCTGTTCTCGCCAACATGAGCTCATGAGTGTGTGTGTGTGTGTGTGTGTGCAGCTCACCACGCATCAGGAGCTGTGGACCTTCATCGTGACCAATCTGGCGAGTGTGTACATCAGAGAGGGCAACAGACATCAAGAGGTTGGTCATCATGGGATTGATTTATAATGTCTGTTAATAATCGTCATCAGCGCCTGATCATCTCCATATCCTCTGTGCAGCTGTACAGCCTGTTAGAGCGGATCAACCCGGACCACAACTTCCCCGTCAGGTAAAACTCCTCACAGACACACACATGAATCAGTGTAGATGGAAAACAGTTAAACAGGCTAAACTGACTCTGACTGACTGAGAAGCTAAAACACAAGTGATGACAAATCAACTCAACTGAGTCAACACTGAACTGAACTGAGTCAACACTGAACTGAACTGAGTCAACACTGAACTGAACCAACACTGAACTGAACTGAATCAACACTGAACTGAACTGAGTCAACACTGAACTGAACTGAGTCAACACTGAACTAAACCAACACTGAACTGAACTGAGTCAACACTGAACTGAACCAACACTGAACTGAACTGAGTCAACACTGAACTAAACCAACACTGAACTGAGTCAACGCTGAACTGAACCAACACTGAACTGAACTGAGTCAACACTGAACTGAACTGAGTCAACACTGAACTAAACCAACACTGAACTGAACTGAGTCAACACTGAACTGAAACCAACACTGAACTGAACTGAGTCAACACTGAACTAAACCAACACTGAACTGAGTCAACACTGAACTGAACCAACACTGAACTGAAACTGAGTCAACACTGAACTGAGTCAACACTGAACTGAACTGAGTCAACACTGAACTGAACTGAGTCAACGCTGAACTAAACCAACACTGAACTGAACTGAGTCAACACTGAACTGAACCAACACTGAACTGAACTGAGTAACACTGAACTAAACCAACACTGACTGAGTCAACACTGAACTGAACCAACACTGAACTGAACTGAGTCAACACTGAACTGAGTCAACACTGAACTGAACTGAGTCATCACTGAACTGAACCAACACTGAACTGAACTGAGTCAACACTGAACTGAGTCAACACTGAACTGAACTGAGTCAACACTGAACTAAACTGAGTCAACACTGAACTGAACTGAGTCAACACTGAACTGAACCAACACTGAACTGAGTCAACGCTGAACTGAACTGAGTCAACTCTGAACTGAGTCACCACTGAACTGAATCAACACAACACTGAACCTAGTCAACACTGAACCCAGTCAACACTGAACCGAATCATCACTGAAACGAATCAACACTGAACTGAACCCAGTCAACACTGAACCCAGTCAACACTGAACTGAATCAAATCAACACTGAACTCAGTCAATACTGAACTGAATCAACACAACTCAGTCAACACTGGAATGAGTCAATTGGATGAAGTTCCATCACAGATTCTGATATTGTCCTGTTCAGTACTGTGATTGGCTCTGTGGTTTCTTCTGTTCAGTACTGTGATTGGCTCTGTGGTTTCTCCTGTTCAGTACTGTGATTGGCTCTGTGGTTTCTCCTGTTCAGTACTGTGATTGGCTGTGTGTGTGTGTGTGTGTGTGTGTGTGTGTGTGTGTGGCGCTGGAGGAATGACCGTTGTGCTGTTCTAATGAATCCGCATGTTGACGTGTTTTCCAGCTCTCACTGTCTGCGAGCGGCAGCCTTCTACATCCGAGGCCTGCTCTCCTTCTTCCAGGGGCGCTACAACGAAGCCAAGTGAGTTTCCTCTGAGTGTGTGTGTGTGTGTCACTGATGCTGATGATCAGACGCCTCATCCGTGTGTGTGTGTGTGTGTGTGTAGGCGGTTCCTGCGTGAGACGCTGAAGATGTCCAACGCTGAGGATCTGAACCGTCTGACGGCCTGTTCTCTGGTGCTGCTGGGACACATATTCTACGTGCTGGGGAACCACAGGGTAACACACACACACACACACACATCACTTACGCATCACTATGGCTATTTAGGTTTTGTTTATTTTAGTTTCAGTTTTAATTAAACTCAGGTAATAGTGTCAGTGCTAACTTCAGTTTATCACCACAGCAGCGTTTCTAATTTTAGTGTGTTTTTCAGCAAATATTTATATCTTATCTCATTTCAGCTTTATTTTACCTAGCTTGTTTAATAACCCTGATCTGCGGCGTCTGAAGAGCTGTGTGTGTGTGTGTGTGTGTGTGTGTTCAGGAGAGCAACAACATGGTGGTTCCAGCGATGCAGTTGGCCAGTAAGATCCCAGACATGTCCGTGCAGCTCTGGTCCTCGGCTCTGCTGAAGGGTGAGTGGCTGTCTTCTGTGTGTGTGTGTGTGTGTGTGTGTGTGTGTGTGTGTGTAGCTCTGATCTCTCCTCTCTCCGTCAGATCTGAATAAGGCGTGTGGGAACTCTATGGACGCTCATGAAGCGGCTCAGATGCACCAGAACTTTTCCCAGCAGCTCTTGCAGGATCACATCGCAGCCTGCAGCCTTCCTGAACACAACCTGATCAGCGTACGCCCCACACACACACACACAACCTGATCAGCGTACGCCACCACACACACACACACACACACACAACCTGATCAGCGTACGCCCCACACACACACACACACACACCTGATCAGCGTACGCCCCACACACACACACACACACAACACAACCTGATCAGCGTACGCCCCACACACCACACACACACACACACACACACACACAACCTGATCAGCGTACGCTTCTCTTTGTAATTGTTTTAAAGAGGTGTTTTGGTTGCATTAACACGCTGTGGCCAGCAGGAGTCGCCAGAGTGATTCAGAACACTGAGTCATTTTCAGAACCAATTGATTCAGTTCCAGAACGCTTTGTTTCTCCAGACACACTCTCACTTGCTTTCATATTTCATTTGAGGAATATCTCAAGATTGTATTTGGTTTGATGTAAACTGTGTGTGTGTGTGTTTCAGTGGACGGACGGCCCTCCTCCGGTGCAGATTCAAGCTCAGAACGGACCCACAACAAGCCTGGCGAGCCTGCTCTAAACACACACACACACACACACACACACTCGGACGGGGGACGAGCGAGACCCGCTGCCTTTGACCTGCAGATCTCTCTCCTGTGTTATTCAGATTTTAACTTATCGAGTTTGCTCTCGGTTCACGAGTGTGTGTGGACGAGGAGCCGCGGTTCAGCGGAGCGTGAGTGAACGCTGTGTTTGATCCTTATTTTGTGCTGAAAATGATTGGCTCACAGACCCGAGAGTGTGTGTGTGTGTGACGTCCAGCGGTGTTCCTGAAGAGCCGAACTTCTGTTCACTGATTCTGACTCTGAATCGTTTGCTTTGGGATCTTCTACTGAGTGTTTGATGTGAACGGCGCTCACTTACTGACCTTTATATGCTGTCGTATTAATTCATCACACACACACATTCACTCTCTCTCACACACACTCATTTTCAGCGCAGAAGGCTTGTGTTTTGTACCTGCACGTCTCTTCTTTTATTGTACAAACAGTCTTTTCTTTTAAAGGTTTCTGCCTCTCTTCTTCTGTAGTTTTAACAAATACATTTATTAAATTTTGTAAAGTTTGAATATTTATATCCCACATGTACCGATTGTTATGATGTGTGTGTTCTGTGGGCCCGATCAGGCTCATCAGTCCGCACTCTTTATAATACCTGTTTTTAAACTCATTATTTCTGTGTCTGCTTTAAAATCATCAGCATTTTTAAATAAAGTTGGAGAAGTGTAGTAGACATGAGTGACTGATCATTGTCATGTGACGTCTGCACACACACACACACACACACACTGCTGATGATGTCACACATCCTCTATTCCTGCTATGGGTAAGCTCTAGACGAGGTTTCTAACAGTTTAAAATCTTTAGTTTTTAGTTTAAAATCATTCCGTGATGCACCTGATGAAGAGCAGAGCTGGAACCTTGACAAAGATGAAACTCAAATATAAGAGTTGTGTGTGTGTGTGTGTGTGTGTGTGTTATTGTTTCCCCAGACTTACATTAGTGATTATTCATCATCATCATCATGATCACTGATAATGGTAATCTGCTAGTAATGAACTGATTCACTTGAGTTGCGGGTCACCTATGCTCGCTCGGGTGTGTGTGAGGAAGACGTCGGTGATGATGGTCCCTGGTGAGCTTCAACGCGCATGCGCAGTGCGTGACTCCGTGGTGTGTGACCGAGCGGCACCATCCGGCACCGGAGGACGTGAGCGATCGGAGAAACAGGGTTTCCCGGGATTATCCGAGTGAATTACCGGAGGAACCGGCAGCGAGACCCGGTGAGTGACGTCAAAGAGTTCAAGCGCTCGGAGGGTCGCGTCGCGAGCTGCTCCTCTTCCTCACACACACACACGGTTCATAACTCACGACTAAGTTACTAACGTTAAGTCATTATGTTTCGCTTTGAAGCTGAAGTTGTGTCGAACAGTTTCAGGTTTGATGTGTTAACTGATATTCATAAACGTTCCGTCATTAAATGTGACATAAATCACTGGGGTAAAAGAGAGGTAAACGAAGCTAAAACTGAGGTAAATCTGAGGTAAACTTTACTCTGTCGTGTCCGAGGAGAGTTCCCTGTCAAGTCTGGCTTTATTTGAGTCACAGTCCTCTCAGGTTTATGAAACTGATTGACAGTATTGATCAGATTCGGGTTGTTTGTAGGGATTTCAGTGCTGCTCGTTTATTAAATGACCGTTGAAGTGTTTGAAAGCGGCGCGTGATCGACTGCTTTCCTGCAGTGATATGATGATGATTGATGTTATTATAATGTTTGTGATCATATTTCAGGATTCCGTGGTTTTTGAGTGTGTTAGTAAGTGTTGTTGTTCACTGCATCGCAATTAGAGTCCCGGGCTGCTCTTCCTCCTCCGGTCGCGCGCATCCTCTTCTTCCTCATCGTTCTCATCTTAAAGCGGAACGCACTAATTTGTCGTTTTTGCACTTTAATTCACTTACCGAAAATAACAGCAGTTTGATTTAAAGTTTATGACCGTGAAATGAGACCAGCTTCTGCACGTTGACAGTTGTAGGTCACGTGACTTTATTAAAGGGTTCACCCAAAAATGTAAACTCAGTAATTACTCACCACTTCATATTGTTCAATCCCCTAAGACTTTCGTCTTTCAATCTTTCAATCCCGTAAGACAACCCAGAAGCTTTGCACAATATCACTACGTAAACTACTCGAGGCCCGCTGACCCGATCAGAGCCGCCAGTTACCTGATCAGAGCCGGCGGTGACCCGATCAGAGCCGCCAGTTACCTGATCAGAGCCGCCCGTGACCCGATCAGAGCCGGCGGTGACCTGATCAGAGCCGCCCGTGAGAAAAAGAAATCAAAAGACATTTGGAATAGATAAAAATGTGCGATTAATCGCAAGCTAACTATGACATTAATGAGATTAATTGCGATTAAATATTTTAATAGTTTGACAGCCCTAATTTTTTGCCCTAATTTTTGGGATTTGTTGTTTATCTTTATTATAAAATGAAGCTGTCTGTATTAAGTAGATTGTGTTTAACACACACAAGAGTGATTATCAGTTCAACACACAGAGTCAAAAAAAAATCGAATCTTAAATCAAGTTTTTTTATAAAAAAAAATCGCAGATGTTTTTAGGGGGGAAAATTGCCCAACCCTAGTGTGTGTGTGCGCACGAGTATATGGGTGTGTGTGAGTATCCGGGTGTGTGTGAGTATATGGGGGTGTGAGTATACGAGGGTGTGCGAGTGTCCGAGTGTGTGCGAGTATCCGAGTGTGTGTGTGTGTGAGTATGCGAGTGTGTGTGTGCTGGTACTCATCTACAGCGGATGTGGTTGTGTTCTCACGGATTTGACGGGCTCTAGTTCTCATCGTGCATCAGTTCAGGAAACCACTGACATCTGCAGCGATGCCATCAGTGTGTGTGTATGTAGAGCAGCTACAACGCTCTGGAGAAACATCTGATGATATATATATATATATATATATATATATATATATATATTTAAATGAAAAAAAAACTAAATAAATTTACAGCGTTATTCTCCTGTTATCTCTGTAAAGCTGCTCTGACACACTCTGTGTTTTAAAAAGTGTTGTATCAATAAAGGAGACTCAACTTGATGATGTGTGTGTGTGTGTGTGTGTGTGTGCGCAGCTGAGCTGATGTCTGAGGAGGCGGTGCGACAGACGCGCAGTCAGAAGCGTGCGCTAGAGAAGGACTCTCTCCCCGTGGACAGCAAGCGACTGAAGCGTGATGAAGACGAAGAGCTGATGAAGGCCTCCGTCAAACTGGAGCTCCGGGCGGGAGACGAGGCCGTGGGCGAGAGGAACACGTGAGGACCCTTTACACCTGCGGTGTTTCCACCGTCGGGCCGGTGCGAGCAGGGCTTTAAACGGGCGGGCGGGGCCGATAGCCTCGCGTCAGGAACACCGAGACCCAAACATGCAGTGTTTCCACTGTCACTAAACACACCCGTAATACAACTATCAATTCAACAACGAATGAAAGTTTTATCAGAACGCTAATCAGAGAGAAATCACTAGAAACTAGCGAGATCGCAAAACTGACATCATAAATCGGCCGTTTGTTGACTGTTTTGTAGGTAGCTAAAAGATTTAACTCTTTAGGCACTTAAAATGTATATTATTCATATGACACACTGTAAACACAAGTAGACAAGACCTGTTTAGTTCGAAAGCTCACTCGCCACAGTAAGGCCCAGATCATGAGTGAGATTAAACGAGCCTCCACGTCGCCCCCTATCTGTCCTATCAATACTTCAGCCTCGTCTAACTCCGCTTTTGATCGCACTGATTCAATGCGCTGTAACTCGAACATTTTGTACAGAAGCATGACGTTTTTTTGAGTCGGGATGAAGTATGACATGTCTGCCATCTAGTGGAGGACGGGTAGAATGAAATTTGACACCCTATATGACAAAATCGGCTGTTTTATTCTGTGCCGCATCTTGTGGAGTAAACCGTACTGTGGCGCTTAAAGGGTTAAAACCTAAGCGTTGATGTTTTACCACAGGTTTACACTAAAAAGTGATGCATTGAGCATAATGAATTAACTTGCGTCAAGATTGCACATTAGTCACACTCAAATTTTCGCTTCACCGTTATTTCAGTTCTGACAGTATGTTTACATCACATTTACAAAATTTGTGCCCTTTTCACAAGAATAATGACCCCAGAGTCTGTGTGTGAAGTTTTACATCAAAATACCCCACAGATATTTTTATATAGCATGTTAAAATTGTCACTTCTTGAGGGCGAGCAAAAACACGGCGTTTGTGTGTGTCCCTTTAAATGCAAATGAGCCGCTGCTCCCGGCACAGGGGGCGGAGCTAAACAGCTCATGCCCGTTTACCACACACGCAATCTCTTATATTATACGATCAGGCCATTTTCGTGTGTGTGAGTGCATGATGGGTAGTCTGAAATGAGTTTCTGAAGTGACTCTGTTAGTTAGTTGCGCCGCGTCTCACTGACTTCCTCTCGCATCTTGTGTCAAGTTGTTTTGTAAAATTATAAATGTCTTTACTGTCACTTTTGATCAGATTAATGTGTCTTTGAGTAAGAGTATTAATTTCTGTGTCTGTGAGCAACGGTTTGAAGGGAAGCGGACCGGGTTTAGAGGAGCAGGGAATTCTGGGAAATGTCCCACAGCTGATCGATGGCTGATATGAATACATGATTTCTCTGTCACGCTAGATGATGATGCTGTAATGCGATCAGTGCGGAACAGGAAGTCAAGTGTGTGTGTGTGTGTGTGTGTGTGCCCCCCCCCCCCCCCCCAAATAAATGCTTTCTCCATCTTCTCAGCATCTGAACGCTCCTCCACTTCACAAAATGAAAGCCATGTGTCACTAACTGGTTCCAGCCGGCTGGTTGTCATGGTTTCCAGTATGGGAGGGGGGGAGGGGTGTCACATGACATCAGGGAACATCGGTGGGTCATGTTACGTGTGTTTAGTTGTGTGATTAATGCAGAGGAAGAGTCTGATCTCTCACACACACACACACACAGCTGGAGTTGCTGGTGGGAAACACAACCAGTTCAACTTTCAGTCGTCAGTCTGAGATCAAAGTAATGTCCATGTGACCATAGCATCATGCTTTCCGTTAAGCACACATGATGAACGTGTGTGTGTGTGTGTTACAGTATAAGAATAATATTTGGATCATTGGTGTGTCGATCCAAAGTTCCCGACATCCTTGAGATTGTTGTTTTAGAACCGCAGTTCATCACATGATCACGAGTCGCTCGTCAGACACCAGTGCTGGAAGATTAGGAGAAGCATTGTGTCCCAGCATTCCTAGCGCTCAGTTTCATCTGCTTTCTCTTTCACTTTGTGTGTGTGTGTGATGGCAGTGCGATGAGGAGCGTGCGGTCCCCCTCTCCTGATGATGTCATCGTGGTGTCCGACGAGGATCCCAGTCCTCGGGTCGCTGGGAGCCGCTGCAGAGAACTGGTCCCGGATCAGCTGATGGTAAACGCCTGACGGTCACTCGTCATTAATCATGACTTACACTGGAGTGTTTTCTCTCCATCACGCGATTTCCCGAACATAATGCATGATGGGATGTGCTTAAGTGTCTCTATGGGGAACAGGCCATCTTGCAGTGCTGGATGTCATGTGATCTCTCATTGTGCTGCTGATATTGTGATAACTCGGTTTCATTAATTAATCTGATTTCCATTTTGTAAAATCATTTTTATGTAAGTAATTCCAAACTTTATGATCACAGACGTCCAGCAGTGTACTCAAACTACTGTTTGATTTTTCCAATAATAATTACAGATGGAATATTCGTGCACATCTCTAATGGGGAACACTGCAGACTCAACGTTTAATCATATGTTTTCGTGTGTGTGTGTGTGTGAAGAGGAGTTCTGCAGAGGAGCGCGAGTGTGTCATTAATCAGCTTAAAGAGGAGCTTCGCTTAGAAGAGGCCAAACTCATCCTGCTGAAGAAGATCAGACACAGCCAAACACACCCCGACTCCAGCGGACAGAAGGTACACACACACACACACACACACATCCCCTAAAGTTCTTCATGTGCTCCTTTGAGAAAAGTAAGAGTCAAATTAACAAATAAAATTGTCTGGATCCTGAACACTATCCTGAGCCAGCGATCACCGTTAGTGTCGTTAGTGTTGTGTGTGTTGTTAGTGTTGTGTGTGTTGTTAGTGTCGTTAGTGTTGTGTGTATTGTGTGTGTTAGTGTTGTGTGTGTTAAAGTCCGAGTTACAGATCTGGTTTGTTCTGTCTCTGATCAGCCGGTGATTTCAGTGTCTGCTGTTCTTCCTCCTCTGTTGAAGAGCTCAGCGACTGCTAAACCTGCACAACCTGTGAGTCCTTTACACACACTCGCTCTAACACACAGACACACACACATTCACACACTTGCTCTAACACACACACACTCACACACTCAATCTGGGCACAGCTGTCCTGAGTCTGATTGGTTGACTGGTTCATCAGGTGGTTCCTGCTCGGCCTTCTGGGACTGTGGCCCCTCCTCCACTGGTGCGCAGTGGTCATGTGACCAAACACACTCAGGTGATCATGCCAGCGCTGGTCAGAGGAGCTCAGGTGAGGGGACGGGGTCGGCACGCATGGGGTTAACTTTAACTTTAACTGAAGTTTATCTTATTTATAATCTTGCTGTATTTTATCTTTATTGAGTCCATATTGCACTAGTATTATACTTGTGCTATTGGGTAATGCACTAGCATGTTTTGAAGCAAGCGGATATCCCTGTTTTTTTTTTCTCTTTTCTTTTCTCTTTTTGAGTCAGAGAGTAAGAAATGTGTCTGTATACTCTTTTATTATTATTATCGATCAATATGTTGATACAAATTCTGTATTGTTCTCCTTTTTCTTTCTGATTGGTAAAACACCAATAAAAAGAGTTAAACTAACTTTAACTGAAGTTTATCATTTGGACGTGTTTGTCTCGCACACATGCGAACGATTCAAGATTCAAGAGTTTTTAGATATTAGGACGGGAACCGAGACTAGAGAAGTGTTTTCTGCAGTGCTGAGGTGTGTGTGTGTGTGTGTGTGTGTGTGCAGTCTCTCTCAGTGACGCCACAGGGGCCTCCGGCACTCCTGCACTGCAGCGCTCAGGGACAGCGCCCCCTCCAGCCGGGCCTCGTCCGCACCGCCTCCGTCCCCAGCGCCAGCTTCCTGCTCATCAACCAGGTGCTGCACACACTCCTGCTCATCCTCCCTTCGGGGAACATCACACACTCCTGCTCATCCTCCGTTTTAAATAATATAAGTTTGAACACTCATACAGACACAGATTTAACGTCTTCGACATAAAGAAAATCTTCAAATTAAATAAAGTTACCCCCTGTAATTACAACTGTGATTTGGACTGAAAAATACAAATAAAGACAAAAAAACTGAGGAGAAAAAGCATTGTTTGCAGTGAACATTGAACGTTTAAGGCGATAGTTCACTTTGAAATTAATGTTTGATATGTTTTATCTTCCCTCAAGGGCATCCGAGATGTAGGTGTCTTTGTTTCCACAGTATTTTCAATTTTGTCATTTTTCAGTCAAACCGTTGTTGTCTATCAGTCATACACTGGAGGCTAAGGGGGTCCACCAAAGAGCAGCACAGAGAAGTCCAAATTAAACATGATTTAATGACTCGTAAATGTAAGAACACACTGATGGCCTAAGACACGAAACGAGCGGTTTGTGTGAGAAAACCAACAGTATTTATATCGTTTTTATACGATAGTCAACTGAAGCGAACTGAATCAGTTCAATGTTACGCCGGAAGTGATCGCTCGCGTGTGACGTCACTCAATATTTACACGGAATTTCAGAAGTTTTACTTTTTACTAAACATAATTTGGACTTCTCTGTGCTGCTCTTTGGTGGACCCCCTTAGCCTCCAGTGTATGACTGATAGACAACAACGGTTTGAGCGAAAAATGTCAAAATAGAAAATACTGTGGAAACAAAGACACCTACATCTTGGATGCCCTTGAGGGAACATAAAACATATCAAACATTAATTTTAAAGTGAACTATCCCTTTAATGAGACATGCATCCAGCGCATTCCAACTCACACACACACACACGCACCAGCTCTCTCTGGATCTCCTGGTTTTTATCCGTTGAGGAAAATGTCGATAGATTTTTATCATATCGTCTCGTTTTCGTCTGTGAAAAGAATGTTTCTATTATTCTGCGATGGAATGAACTCTGTTGGGGTCAGGGAGAGGTGAAGCGAAGGATGCGGGTTAATCCTGAACAGAGGAAAGAACATTTTAACAGCATGAAAGACCCCGGTGTTTAGTGAGTGTCCTGCTCGCTGTTCCCTCAGCCCGCGGGGTCGAGCCTGCAGACGGCGAGCGGCGAGTGTGTGGCGTCGGTGAAGCTAGCGCTGCGCAAACAGCTGGAGAACGCTCTCCTGGAGATCCCGCCGGCCAAACCCCCCGCGGCCCAGCTCACCTTCATGCCCTCGGCCGCCAGCCTCCACTTCCTCTACCTACTGGGCCTGGAGGAGGTGGTGCAGTGTCTGCTGGAGTCTCTGGGCCCAGGTACACACACACACACACACACACCGCCCAGCTATAAGGCATGAAGATATTAAGGTTTGATTTTGTGACGATATAAATAAACATTGAGAAAATCTCCTTTAAAGTCGTGATTTGCTGCATTCACTCACAAAAATATATATTTTTTATATTTTTATGGTAAGAAATTCACAAAATACCTTCATGGATCTTTACTTAATAATCCTAATGATTTTTGGCATAAAAGAAAAATCTGTATAATTTTGACCCACACAGTGTTGGTTATTGCCACGGAGATATGGAAGCATATTGGTAGCAATATTCAATTATGTGAACGATGCATTTCTGTATTTAAATGTATATTTTCCATTACATTGTTGCAACGTTTTGTGCAAAATGAAAATTGAATGATGTCTTTTAAATTTGCCATTTCATACACTTCTTCTAATATGTAAATTGAATGCATATTTTAACTCTTTATAAGTTGCAAAATTACATTTTTTTTTTAATTGCATTTAAGTGCGAGTGTAAATGAAATTGCGTTTACACTCGCGGTTATGAAACACAGGCAGTGCTGGTGATGGTGTGTGTGTGTGTGTGTGTGTGTGTCAGGTCAGCAGGGTGTGTCCGCTGGGCGAGGGGTCAGTGCCGAGCCCTCCTGCTGTCGTCAGTGTGAGACGGACTTCACCAGCCGCTGGTGTGAGGACGGGGGCGGAGCCGTCATGTGTGAGCAGTGCCTGTCAGCCAATCAGAAGCAGGCGCTGAAGACCCAGCACACCAATCGGCTGAAGGCGGCGTTCGTGAAGGCTCTTCAACAGGAGCAGGAGATCGAGCAGCGCATCCAGAAGACCACATCATCATCGTCTCACGGGGGGAAGATGAGCCGCCCCCCCGCAGCCATCAAACAGGTATAACGCTGGCTCCTCCTCCCTCCAGCAGGAAGTGATGCGCATTAGACATGACGTGATTGGCTGTGTTTTATTTAATGCGCGTTTTCCCAGCATGCAATAGCCATCATTTCCCTGTCCAAGTGATCTACGCAAGCAGTGATGTCCTCGAGGCTAGTGTGTGTGCTGTGGTGCAGGGGTCACGGCTGAAGGGCGTAGTTAAGCTGGACTGATTCCCGATACAGCGCTAGCCTCGAGTACATTAGTGCTGCTATTAAACGGGTACCGCACGACACGCATATTAAAGACGAAAATATCTATTAATGCAGCTTTCATCAAGTGAAATCTCTAAAAGCCTTACAGTGAGTGAGTGAGTGAGACACACACACACACACACACACACACATACCCGTGCAGCGTAACTGGTGTGTGTTTCCTCAGGTGTGTCCGTCGTCCCGTGGTCTGCCAGCGTCTGGGATTCGCTCCATCTCTTCTCCTTCTCCTCGACTACAGCCGGGTCAGCATGCAGTGCGTCAGGGGTCAGAGGTCATCAAGAGCCGTGACCCCACGACCTCTGGCTGGAGGAAGAGGAGCCGCGGAGCAGCAGGTACAGACTCTGCTTGCACGCCTCACTCACGCCGAGTGTGTTTAGCGTCATCTTTATACGTTTTCCTTCTGTTGGCGGATCTCAAATGATCGTCTATTCGGTCTGAACCAATTAATGCTTCAGGAACCACCCACAATGCCACAATAACCAATCAAAACTCTTATTTTCTCCATTGGGGAATTGGATTGTGAAGGACAGATCTTTAAAACTAATCGATGGTTTATGCTTTTGTCGAAACCATCTGTTCGCATTATTTTCAATTTATTTTTCAAATCACTTTTAAAAGCAGAATTGATAAACTACATTACCCATGATGCTGTGCATAAAATCCACCAATCAGAGAATAAAGCTCTTTAGTAACGGAGTCTCCCTACCCTCTCGAAACACTTGTTTGCGTACATGCACATGTTTGTGTTGTATGTGTAATCAACGTCTTCAAACGAATGATGGTTTTTAATAGGATTATGTCTTAATGGGATTGTAGTTCTTCCCTCATTAAACTCGTCAGTTCTATGGAAGCCTGTGTCCGCCACAAAATACAACGTTTTAAAATATAATTGCGACTTTTTATCTCACAAGTGCGAGTTAAAATCTGACAATTCTGACTTTATAACACGCAGGTCTGAGATGGACAGTCGCCATCGTTCACTCTTTGTAAACTACTTCAGGAACCAGCGGCGCTGAGATAACTCAAGCAGAAATCATCCTTCTGTCATTGTTTACTCATTCTGAGTTGTGTGTGTGTGTGTGTGTAGCAGGTGTGACGATGGCCTACATGAAGCCCAGTTTGTCGGGACACAAGTCGTCGTCAGCGCTGGAGCGACACAGAGAGTTTCTGCTGGACATGATCCCATCACACACCGTCTCACACACCGCAAACTCCTGGAAGTGAAGCTCGGGATCAGTCTGGGGATCAGGACGTGTGTGTGTGTGTGTGTGTGTTCACGATTCAGGACGTGTGTGTGTCTGTTCACGCCAGAGCACCGAGACGCTTACACAGAGACGCTTATTCATCCAAGGGCTTTTCACTCTCGCATCGCATCTGAACATCTGAACCGGATCTGATCTAAACCACATCTGAATCGGATTTAAAAACGCATCTAAACCACTTCTGAACTGCATCTGAACCGGATTTAAATCGCATCTAAACCAAATCTGAACTGGATCTGAACCGGATTTAAACCGCATCTGAACATCTGAATCGCATCTAAACCAAATCTGAACTGGATCTGAACTGCATCTGAACCGGATCTGAATCGCATCTGAACCGGATCTGAACATCAAAACCGCATCTGAACCAGATCTGATCTAAACCGCATCTTAACATCTGAATCGCATCTAAACCACATCTGAACTGCATCTGTACCGGATCTGAACATATAAACCAGATCTGATCTACACCGCATCTGAACCGGATCTGAACATCTGAACATCTGAATCGGATCAAAACTGCATCTGAATCGGATCTGAGCCACATCTAAACTGTACCTGAACCGTATCTGAATCACATCTGAACATCTGAATCGAATCTAAACTGCATCTGAACATTTGAATCGCATCTAAATCACATCTTAACTGGGCCGATCAGATCACTTATAAAAGACTCTGAAACTCTGAAAGACTGAAAACAAACCAAAAACATCAGAACTGATGGATGCAAACGAGCCGCTTTCACACTGTGTGTGTGTGTGTGTGTGTGTGTGTGTGTGTGTTTTTATTTAGATTTCTCTGACTGTTAAATTATATAACTGTGTGTAATTTCAACTGAAGGATGTGTGTGTGGTCACACGTTTGTGATGGTTTGTTTTTAATTAGTATTGTTTTAAGTTGACCTTCCGTTGACCCGTTGATTTTCTTTGAGTCAGTCGAGGTTTTAATCATTTGTGGATATTTTTGCAGTCACTGTGTGTGTTTCCATACGGTGGATATATAAACAATTGTTTCAAACAGTTTCTGTGGTGATTTCATTAACAACTGCCTTAATTAAGACATCATCTGTATCCCTTGATTATTATCGGTGTTTATCGGGCTTCATGTAACATCTGATGATGGTGATGATAAAGACGGAATGCCCAGCTCTGATTGGGTAAACTCCTCACGCATCGTTCCTATTGGCCCGTGAGGATTCTGTCTAAATATTCATGATGTTCCCGCCCACAGAACGGATGAGTTTGTTAGACTGATCTTTGTTCCTGTAATAAAGTTGAACCTTTTCATTCTCGCAGTTCCAGTGTTTTAATGAAGCCGTGAGTTGTAGTTTATCTTTGAGACAGAGACGAATATTAGACAAAACTATCAGATAACATGTTCATCTCATCTGAACACACACACACACACTGCCGTTCCAAACTTTTAAATCGTAAGATTTCTAACGTTTTTGAAAGAGTCTCTTGATTAAAAATACAAAAAAGCCCAGAAAAACTCTGAAATATTATTATAATGTAAATCATCTGTTTTCTATGTGAATATACAGTAAAGTGTAATTTATTCCTGTGATCAAAGCTGAATTTATCATCATTACTCCGGTCTTCAGTGTCACATGACCCTCCACAAATCACTCTAATATGAGGATCTGATGATCGAGAAACATTTATGATTATTATCAGTGTTGGACACAGTTATTTACATTTTTGTCTATTTTACTAATATTGTTTAATAAAAGAAATCAATACTTCTATTTATCATTCTATTTATTAATTAAATTTAACTCGCCAGAGATTGCCCAAGAAAAGGATATTTATAATTTGTACATTCTATTAATAAAAGAATCCTGATTTTTACTGTTTTTACTGATAATAATGTTTTTTTTTTTTTTTAAATATAACATGGATAACATGAAAAAAATATTTTTTTTAGGTTGAACTTTGGTTAGTCACTCAAACCTTAATCAAACCTCTCACCGTCGCGCATATCCGCCATGTTGTAGTTTTTTTTAACAATTATATGATTGACAGTCATCACCGGTTTGACCGAAAAATGTCAAAATTGAAAATACTGTGGAAACAAAGACACCTACATCTTGGATGCCCTTGAGGTAAAGATAAAACATATCAAACATTAATTTCAAAGTGAACTATCCCTTTAAACACTTATTTGTGGGTAGTTTAGCTTGTAGACATTTTTATGTTGTTTGATTTAAGTGTAAGTCAGAAATGGAGAAGGATTTTCATTATGTCGCTCTGTCTGTGACATACACACACACACACACACACACACACACACACACACACACACACACGCACAGAGAGAGAGAGACGCAGGTCTGGAGTTTGAGTGGCAGAGGGCGCTAGAGAGCAGCGCGCAGTCGCACTCGCCGCAGCCGAAGGAGAAGAAGAGGAATACGCTTCCGGCTACCGAAGCGGCGCTGACGGGAAGATGGCGGCGTCCAAGGTGAAGCAGGACATGCCTCCGCCCGGGGGATACGGGCCCGTGGACTACCGGAGGAACCTGCCCCGGAGAGGACTGTCCGGTTAGTGTGTGTGTGAGTGAGTGAGGAGGGTTAGCGCGGTGATCAGTGCGGGGTTCATCACACACACAGTCTTGAACTGGGTCATCATCATCATCTCAAACTCAAACAACCTGAGCGAGATTCTGCTTTAAATAACCACTGTAAACACAGTCTAATCCAGCTTTAAGAGTGAAGAGTTAACGTTAGTCAGTCTGTTATTGATCAAACTCTCTAACGATGATGTTTAATCCGGTTTCACATTAAAGTAGAGCTGTTTACAGTCTGGAAATGAAGACAGTGTAAACTTGAGTGATTTTCCTCTAGTTCAAAGCTAGGTTTGTGTTTATCTCCTGCTGTGTGTGACTGTGGATGCTGGATACACTGACAATCACGATTATATTGTTTCTAATAAAAATCACCAATCTGAAAAGACAACTAAACAAATGTAGGATAATTTACTATTAAAACTGCCGATATGAATATTTGCATATTCATAAATCCGCACATACTAAATGTCTAGTTATAATCAAGATATTTTAAGGCATGAAGACTTTTTCCAAGGATGAAAAATATTAAATATGTTCAAGTATGCGTTTTTGTTGATCATAGATTAGTTTTAAGGGATTAAATGATTGACTGTTAATAATATGAATGAATTATTTAAATACAATCTCTTGAGTGATGATTCAATGATCACTTGACAAGTCACTTGGCGCCACCTACTGGTGTAACTGTAATTTATACAGTCTTTATTTGAAGCAGAAAGTTACTTTCAATTGTAATCGCCACTGTAGACATCAGTGTTTTATCATAACTATAAACCTTTATTCCAGTACTTCTGTGATATGACTGATTGCAAGAGAAATAATGACACTACTTTTATTTCGATGCATGACAACTCCGGATCTGAATGTTCCCTGTGATCGCGCTCATCGAAGGCTTAATATACAGAGACGAATCGTTTAACATTGAGGAATAAGATCGCGAGTGTGTTCGATTCGATATCGCGATCTTCTGACGGTACTGATGTCAGTCCGTGATGTGACGGGGAGTGTGTGTGTGTGTGTGTCGTTCCCAGGTTACAGCATGTTCGGGATCGGCGTCGGGATCCTGGTGTTCGGATACTGGAGGCTTTTCCGCTGGAACCGTGAGCGCAGGTGAGTCGCGCCGCTTTAGCCGTCCGTGTGTCGCGCCGTCAGTCCTGACCCTCTTCTTCCTCTTCTTCACAGGCGTCTGCAGATCGAGGAGCTGGAGGCTCGGATCGGGCTTCTGCCGCTGCTACAGGCTGAACAGGACCGACGGTGAGAATCACACTAAACTCGCGTGATGCTAGCATGTTGTTAGCATTAATAAGCATGTTGTTAACACGTTGCTTGCATGTTTTCACATGGTTTTAATCATATTTTATTGCTAACATGTTATTAGCACATTGCTAGCATGAATTAGCAACATTTCTATCATGATTTACCATGTTGTTAATAAGTTTTAGCACATTGTTATCAATAATTATCTTGTTGCTAGTAAGTTTTAGCACGTTGTTAGCATTAATTAACATGTTAGTAAGTTTGAACACATTGTTACCATGTTAAACAACATGCTATCATGAATTAGCATGTTGCTAATACGTTTAGGCACATTGCAAACAAAAATCTAGCATGTTGTTAACATGAATTAGCATGTTGCTTGCAATATTGCTAGCATGATTTAGCATGCTGCTTTGTTAGCATGAATTACCATTAAGCATTAGATTACAGAGCTGTCATTAGCAGAGAAACCGCGCATCTGCGTCTGGACACAATTACATCATCGCTCGGGTATTTCTGCATGATTTCAGGTCTTATTTATTTTCCATAAATTCAGAATTTATGTCAGTATGAGATTTACTGGCGAGTCATGATTTGTGTAACGCTTCGAGAATGAGACCCAATGATCCGCATGACGTCACCACCTAATCACAGAGTGGGGCGGGACTGAGTGAGGGGCTGACCAATGGCAGGCAGGGGGCGTGACTACTGGTGTTTGTCCTGCAGAACGCTGCGGATGCTGCGGGAGAACCTGGAGGAGGAGGCTGTGATCATGAAGGACGTTCCCGGCTGGAAGGTTCTGACGCACGTTTTGTTGTTTCTGAGCGCGATCACATGATCACGATGTGTGGAGATTCAGGAGTTGAGCTGCTTTCCTCTGTCTCAGGTCGGGGAGAAGGCGTTCCACACGGACCGCTGGGTCCCTCCGCTCACAGAGGAGCTCTTTAACCTTCGACCCCGTGAGGAGTTGATCCACAAGAAGTTTGGCTTCCAGTGGTACGTGTAGACGGCAGCTATCCCAGCATGCCCTGCTGCACAGAGGCGTGTTATTCTGTTCACACTGTAAATGTTTCCATATTAAATATCTGTACTTTTCCTCTCAGATGCTCTGGTGTCCTCCCTTCTTTCTCTCTGCTGTTCATTCATTGATAATGAGGTCCCTTTAATTAACACTAGTTAATGCAGTGACTGAAAAAATACATTTGTTACAGTCTTTTTGTCACGTTTACATGACAACGATGTGCTGAACTTTTTCCGTTGTGTTTTTTGCGTCTGTCAAAACGACCCCGTTCACGGATCAGCGGAATCGAGCGGGCGCTGTAATTCTC